AGTTTGGTCCAATTTCACGACATTTTACAAATGCTATTTTGTTTTCTTTCAATGACTATTAACACAAGATTTATGGAATTAATCGATGTTTTGAGTGAACTATAACGTTTTCAGTTGAGAATGTGGCGAGGAGAAAACATTTGATAACTGCATAGGAATAAAACATTTTGCAATTCTCCGTTTAATTTGACTTTAAACTTAACACTATGGAAAAATAAACGGGAGCTTCAACTGCCATTTTCATGGCGTAATCTGAAAATACTTAATTCGCATTATTATGGGCGTGGCTGGTCACGTGACCTTAAGAGGCACAGTGTGAGCTTCAAAAATGGTTTCAATCTTAAGCACATATGTTTAAGTAAAAATGAAAGAAGATGGCGGACAAAACAAGAAAAAATGACAAAAGCCCAAAATGGAGCGAGGAGGGATGCCTTAAATCAGTCGAGTAAGGAATAAGGCTAACATAGTGAAGCTCATGCACGTGACCCAGCACAAGCCGGTTGCTACCAGTAACATCATACTCTGGACAGATCATTACGTCATGGCAATGTGGCAGACTGCTGATCACGTGGATGCACGTTTCAAAACAGTTTGCCGCGCCGTGTAGAATCACGTGATCACCCCATGTACCATCTACCATCATGCTAGTGAGGTAGGCATCCCAAGATGAATATCCACCAACAAAATGAAACAGTTCTGTCCCATTCGGCTGTAAGAAAGAAAGTAAATACTGTAGTTAATGGAGAAAAAGGTCGAGTGCTTTTGTAGAAGGTATATATTCAAGCAGCTGCGCTGTCGTCAGCTCTCTCTAAGGCGGACCCCGCTGGTATCGGCACTAGAGCAGATATGTCCACTTTAGTAGTGAGCCGGAACCAGGCCAAAAGGTTGTCTGCAATGGACAATGAAATAAACTATGAAAGCATTCTCACCAAATACACCAAATAAGAGCATGATTCCTGCAAGTTACATCATCAATGTAAGAATAACTGGTTATACTAGAAACTACATAAAAATAGCTCGTATAACTTAGACGTTATCTTGATGAGATTCTACCGCATTTCATTCATTAGATAAAGACGTCACCTACACTTATTTGTTCCACTTCATGCTAATGGGATTTCACTTCAAGAACGAGGTCTAAACTGTGTATCCTGTACTATTTTCCTTGTAAAAACTCCAACAAAAACAATTAAGAACGGCAGGGACCAACACTTTCAGGAAATTACTTTAGGAAGTTTTAGTGAGGTGTCTGTTACACGTGTAAGTGTACTTGACCAAGTACGTTGGGTCAGAAATAACCCTACACATATAACCAGTATTGAGGACCTCAAGTGTGTCAGTCGATGTTGTAACTGTCAAGTTTTACCCTCTTTAAATAAAGTATTCACTTCACTTCACTATATAGACATACGCTGTTGGAACAAAGCGGCTTTCAGTGAACATTTCCTACTTAGCAAAATAACGTACTTATAAAAATTAGGACATAAGTCAGAAGATCGAGGCGACAGAGACAGATTAAGATTTCCTAAAATCGGTTTCCAATTACACCTCCGGGATAAAAATGTGATTAAAGGAAACGAATTTGCGTTAATTTAAATCTTCATGGTCCTTACGTAGCATTTTGTAAATTAAAAAAAGGAGAAGAAATTTTTGGGATTTGTATTTTAAGGACAGCATACCGATCCAATCACAATACTTCGTCGCCGTGCATTCGAGGTCCTTCACAAAACGTCGCATTATTAGGAAGTTTCACGTCGTGCAGTGGACGACGAGTAAAAGTAAACATGCGTGATGCTCATGCAGAGCTGCTGTTTTGCTCATAAAGGGTGGATTCATTTGCAGCATACCCGTAAAGCCGTCGCATTTGCTTGCAGGAATTAAAGGCCCCGCTCACACGTATCAGGGTATTTTTAGCCTTCTGTCCACACGAAAACGGCCTTTTCGGGCACCAAAAACACAGGTCACCAGAAAGCGGTCCCTAGAGTAGACTTTTGAAAACGTCGACTTTTCGTTTACGAGTGGACGGACAAAAACAGAGGTTTTCTAATACGACGATGTCATTTATTATATGCTAGTAGCACTGTGTTTGTTCTGTGAGGGATGCTATCGTATTTCAATCATTTCAGTGTTTTTATGTAGACGAGTGAAAAATAATTCAAATACTCTACGTGTGGACAGGGCCTTATTACTTATAACCTTAAGAACAATGAAAAAATTCAACGGGCAAATGCGACGGCTTACGGCTTGCAAATGAATCCATCCAAGCAAAAATAATAAGGTACTTACCAGCCTGGGGTTTTCCCGAAGGTGTTGAACAATTGTTCGGCGTAACTCATCATGGGACATTTGAATTCCTTTGACGAGGTCAAGCTGCTCTGAAAGTGCAAAAAACATGCAGTTCCCCTCTCCTTGATTGTCAGAAATCGCAAAACCTTTCTCCAAAGCAGTCCTCTTTAACGTCTGCGACAGCTTAGTTTTGCTAGACTCTATGCGTGCTTCCAGCAGGATTTGTTGAAGTGCAACGAAAATGGGTTCACCTGTAAACGGAAGGTGAAAAAGACAAAATAAGATAGAGGTTATTTCACGCCAGTTTAATAGGAGAGGATGATAATGGTAATGATGATGATGAAGAATTTGTATAGCGCTAGAACTATAACATATTCAAAAGCGCTTAACATTAACTTACAATTAAAAAAATTCCTAAAAAGCTACTAATAACAATAATAATAATAATAAGAGAATTCCATGCTATGCTAAAATCTAAAAAATAAAAGTCTAAGATTCTATAAAAAAATTAAAATTAAAATATTCAAAGCACTAAACTTCAGAGTTATTCTAGTAAATTATTAGCTTTCCTAAAAAGAAATGTTTAAGATGCTTTTTAAAGATGGCGAGGCTGCTACTTATTCTTATAGTTAATGGCAGCGAGTTCCATAAAACAGGCGCAGCACAGTGCACTGGTCTGATGCCTAAAGCAGTCGACAATTTCAGAAAAATTACTGCGGTTTTAAAAGAACAAAGTAACCTCCTTCTATTGCTAAAATAAATTTTGGCTTTGGTTTAATTGGCAAAGCAAACAATGACATTACCTGTCATCGGTCCTGTTGCAGCATCTTTTTCCAAGTCATTCTGTGGGACGTCATCTTCTTGGGTTTTTTCAAGACCTGTAAAGTTTAAAATTTCCAGTGAATTTAAATGGTTTGGCCTGTAAGCGGGAGAGGGAAACAGTTATTTTACGTCAGTTTACTTGTAGATGCTACACTAAACATTGAAAAGCTAAAAGCACCCGAATAGTCTTTGGTTTAATTAACAAAGCAAACAATGACATTACCTGTCATCGGTCCTGTTGCACCATCTTTTTCCAAGTCATTTTGTGGAACGTCATCTTCTTGGGTTTTTTCAACACCTGTAAAGTTTAAAATTTCCAGTAAATTTAAATGGTTTGGCCTGTAGGCGGGAGAGGGAAACGATGCTACACTAAACATTGAAAAGCTAAAAGCACCCGATTTAGTCTTTGGTTTAATTGACAAAGCAAACAATTACATTACCTGTTATCGGTCCTGTTGCAGCATCTTTTTCACAGTCGTTCTGTGGAACGTCACCTTCTTTGGTTTTTTCAAGACCTGTAATTTTTTGAAAAAGTAATGATTAAAAGAAAAGAATGTCACTCTTAAAAAAAAGGAAGATTCCAACCTTAAAAGCGCCCCATTCACTTTTTGTGACAAGTTATAACCCAAAAGTTTAGCTGGATTTTTTTTGTTACTTTCTTTTTATATACAAGAGAATAGTATTATCGACAAGACAGCTTTCAATGCGGGAAATTGTAGTGGTAAGATCAACGCTATCATCACAACTGAAGGTGTATACAGTTGAGTATCATCAGCATATAGATGGAATTCCATATCATGCCATCGTATAAGGTCATCCAGTGGGGGCGTGTATAAGAAGTAAATCCATCAATCTGAACTGACTAGGAACGATCTGTAAGATAAGACTGAAGCCACGCAAGCGCTTTTCCTCTTATACCAAACCTGGATCGAAGTCTTTGTAACAAGATCTTATGATCGACGGTGTCGAAGGCTGCTGATTGGTCCAGCAGCAAGAGAACGACGCATTTTTTATTATCGATTGATTTCAGTATATCATTCTAAATACGTAGAAGCGCTGTCTCATAACTGTGGTGTTTCTTATAAGAAGTCTGGAGACTTTCATTCAGATCATTGTCACACAAACAATCCGTCAGACGCATGGCTGCAACTTTTTCAATAACCTTAGACAAAAACTTCAGGTTAGATACAGGTCGAAAGTTAGAACAGGGTCTAATGATGGAATATTTACACGGGACTGCAGCCCATGTGGTGGGGTGTGGTGGCCCTTAAAACCAAGTTCTATCAAGAACACTGCAGTAATTTATCTAAGTAATTGAGGGGGCTACATGAATTTTTTGAGGCAGACATTTTTTTGTTATGAATGCTTAGTCTATTGAAACGGCTAATTGTACATAGTAATTTTCAAGGAGTTATAATAACTCCTCTAGTGGGATTAATTTAACTTCCTACAGTGGAGTTATTTTTTGGGGAGTTATTTTAACTCCAAAAAGGAGTTTAAAGAACTCTTTTTCAGGAGTAAAAATGACCCCAGATATTGAGGAGGTAAAATAACCCCATTTTCAGAGTTATTTTAACTCCAGACTGGGAGTAAAAAGACCTCTTTTTCCGGAGTAAAAATGATCCCAGATTTGGAGTTAAATCAGGAGTTAAAGTAACCCCCAAAAAGGGGTTACCCTGTACCTAAAATTTTTACTCCATTTTTTGGAGTTATAATAACTCCCTAAAAATTACTGTGTACAGTAATAAGAGAATTGACGGATTAAAAAACTGTACATGTGAAAAGATGGGCCTCTTCTTTCTGCCAACAAGTTTGCAAACAAGGGGCCACAATAAAGGTCAAATGTATTCCATTTCATAACGCGAGTTAGCAACTCTTGAATCGCAGTATAATCAGACATCTTTACCTCCTTTCTGTGGAATAAGGCTAACATAATGAAGCTCGTGCACGTGACCCAGCACAAGCCGGTTGCTACCAGTAACATCAAACTCTGGGCAGACCATTACGTCATGGCGATGCGGAAGACTGCTGATCACGTGGATGCAAGTTTGAAAACAGTTTGCAGCGCCGTGTAGAATCACGTGATCACCCCATGTACCATCTTCCATCATGCTTCGGAGGTAGGCATCCCAAGATGGATATCCATCAACAAAATGAAACAGTTCTGTCCCATCCGGCTGTAAGAAAAAACGAAAATACTTTAGTTAATAGAGAAAAAGGTAGAGTGCGTTTGTAGAAGGTATATATTCAGGCAGCTGCGCTGTCGTGAACTCTCTCTAAGGCGGACCCCGCTGGTATCAGCACTAAAAAAGATTTGTCCACTTTAGTAGTGTAGGAGGCACTCATTAGACCCCTTTTTTGAAGTGGAATAAATTAACGTCGGTGACGTCTTTATCTCCTTTGCGCGCCAAAAACCAGTGAACCGGAATAATAACAATAAGGCTATGTTCACACTATACCGGATAACCTTTGGTGAAGACACGACATCTATCCGATATGTGACTCTCCACTTAAGAGATCGGCGAGGCACAGCTTTACTCCGTTTAACAGAAATCGCGCCGAAATCACCGTTCTTATGTGTGAACTGATTTTCGTGCCGGCGAAAAAGCTATACGGTACAGTGTGAACACACCCTAAGTTGCCTGCCATGGACACTGAAGGCGTCATTGTTCAGTGATTTTAAGTCACAGGTGTCTTCATAACCAGATATAGACATGACACACACAATGAATGATTTTCCAGTAATCGGAGACCCATGTTTCGCGCACAGGATCATAGGATCGCCAGGGGGCGAACATTGCGAGAAAATATATGGCGTGATTTTATGAGAAGGGGAGGTGACTAATGCCGGTGCGTTGAAATTTCAAGTTTCTGTGTGATTAATGCGATAAATTCTATCGATAAACACTCCTTGCTTGAGGTTGAGAGTGAAATTTATGGTTACTGAATTCAGTTATCTACATGAAAGGTCTCGAAATACATAGTGCAAATTTTGGTATAAATGTAGGGGCTCATTTAAGCTTTTTAGTTGTAATTACGTGTGGTGATATTTACATCCAGTGTAACTACGCTCGGCCGCGATCAGCGCTATGCGGCGCTGTGCGGGTTGTGACAAGACAACAATCGAAGGTATGTGCGTGGCCATAAAAACAAAAAATCCTCCTCTACGTTGGTATAAACAAAGCAACATCTTCGAAATATTTCATGGAAAGTACATGGTATAAAAGCATTAGTAGATGAGGCAGAAATAGCAAGAGAGAGTGTCGCAAAACGAGTAAGATTTCCGATACAAAAACCGTGAGTGTGTAACTGCAAATAAATTGATGTGCGAAATTCAGAGATTCCTTATCTTCCCACAAAATGATTGGAAAAGGCATTAGAACTCATTGTTGCTCTGGATCATGACAAAACATTTTGCTAGCGTTTTTTTCGGCGAGAAGAAATAAACATACCAACTTGGGAAGACGGTTTTGTTTTTAAAGTTAGTACATTTCAAATTCTATGTGTACCTGATCGTTGTCACAAACCGGCACAGCGTTGTGATCGCCCCGAGCTGAGCGTAATTACACTCGTTGTAAATATCAGCACAAGTAACTACAACTAGAAACTAAGGCTTAAATGAGTCCGCATTCCCCGCTCATTTATACCTAAGTTAGTACTATATATTTCGAGACCATTCAGTAAATTTTACAGTCGACCTTTTCGCAAGGAGTGTTTATCGATAGAATTCATCGCATCGATCCCACAAGAACTTATAATTTCAACGCACAAACATTAGTCTTGTCCGCTTCTCATAAAATCATGGCAAAATGCGGCATTCTATGTCCAAAGACTTTGCTTTTTCAACGGAGAAACAATTCCACGCCATACATTCCTTTGCAGCGACTTGCAATGTTTGCCCCCCTGGCGATCCCATAATCCTGTGCGCATAACTAGGTCTCCGATTACTGGAAAATCATTCATTTAAAATGATCAACAAAATCATTCTCACAAATAAAGGACATGATCCCAACAAGTTACATAATCAATATAATAATCAATCAATATACTAAATACTACATAAAAATAGCTCGTGACGTTATCTTGATGAGATTCGACCGCATTTTATTGCTGAGATAAAGATGTCATTGACGTTAATTTATTCCACTTCACAGTAATAAGATTCCACTACAAAAAAGGTGTCTAACCTGCGTGACCTATACTACTCCCCTCAAAAAAATATATATATAAAAAACAACAGTTAAGAACAGCAGGGACCAACACTTTTAGGGAGGTGGAGTAGGTTTAGTAGGTTTTAGGGAGGTGTCCGTTACACGTGTAAGAGAGATGAGGGAATGGATGTTTACTATTAATATAATGTGAGTTTGACGTAAGTCGGCGAATTTTCTTGGATTTCAGCCCTTAGTGACTGTGTCCAAGCCCAAAAACAATAACTGACCGTCGAGTGTTCGATGCCCTCCACAAAACGTCACATAAAGAAGTTTTGCGTCGTAGTCGTGCCGCAACATCTGAGCTCAACTCAGTTTCCCTACAGGACGGGGGTGGGGGGGAGCTGTATAGACGCGCTCCTCAGTATGCAGCACACCGTCTATTGTTTCTAGATGACCCTAAGTGAACAGCGGCACTACACAGGGCAGTGTGAGTGGTCCGTACTTATTTAGTATTTTTATTAATGATCTGGAAATCAGCATAGATAATCATACTCCCATTTGGAGTAATGGCCACTGTCGTACGGATTTGGTGGATCAGTTTTTAATTTGGCCTAAGGAAAGAGTATAATTTGTAATCCGTCGAAATGTCAAGAAATTATTTTTCGCAAGAAAGGTTTTATTCAGGATATTGCGCAAGTTAATAACATTCCGCAATGCACGGAGCTGCCCATTTTAGGCGTTACGTTTCAGGAGAATTGTAAATATAGCGAACACGTACGTGCTAAGTTGATTAAGGCAAATAAGTATCTGTTTGCATTAAGATCTCTACGAAAGCGAGCTTTCAGTCAAGGTGAAGTAGACCACCAATTTAGCGCCTCAGTTTTTTCCGAATTTCAGTTATGGTCTACCTGTTTATGGCGCTGTAGACTCAGATCTCACGGTCATACAAAACGTTCTGGATAGATGCTTTAAAAGGAAATACACATTTAAGAGAATGGACATTCGAGAACTTTTAGAAAAGACAGATAAGAAGCTTTTCAAGGTACGTTCAACGGATCCCGATTGCCAGCTTAGTAACATTATTCCAAAGAAGAAAGAAACAAAGTATCAACTCAAAAACAAAACTGCTCATCGCCTGGATATAAAGACTGAAAGATTTACGAATGTTTTTGTAAATAGGCTTGTTTTTAGATATAATCTTTGATCTTTCTTTTATTTGTATACAGTATGTCTTATGTATTTTTATCTTTTCATTTGTATACAGTATGTCTTATGTATTTTTAGACTCCCAACTGCTGATGTAACTGAAGAAATGTCTTTTTATCTTAGGAGGAATAAAGATTGATTGATTGATTGATTGATTGATTGAGTGGACGAAGAAGCAAAGCGTGATGCTCGTGCAGAGTTAGCTGTTGTTTTGCTCATAAAGGATGAATTCATTTGCAGCATACCCGTAAAGCCGTCAAATTTAATCGCAGCAATTTAAGGGCCACGTCCACTCGTATCCAGAGATATTTTTTTTAAATCGGAGATTTATTTGTCCGTTTTAGCCCTCTGCCCACACGTGATCGGCATTTCCTGGCACCAAAAACGCAGGTTTTAACAAACGGTGCCAGGAGTGGAGACTTTGAAAAACGACGTGCGGATGGACGAATACAGAGGATTTAGAATACAGCATTGCGCATGCTCTGTAAATGGATGCTATCGTATTTCAATCATTTTAGCGTTTTTATGTGGACTGGCGAAAAAGATTCAAATACGCTTCGTGTGGACCCGTATTTCGGATACGTGTGGACAGGGCCTTATTATTATTATTTTTTTAACTTTGAGAGGAGTCAAAACAATGTAGCGAACAAATGCTACGGCTATGCGCGTATACTGCAGGTGTGTGCACCCTAATAAGGTAATAAGATACTTACCAGCCTGGGGTTTTCCCGAAGGTGTTGTACAACAGTTCGGCGTAACTCATCATGGGGCATTTGAATTCCTTTGATGACGTCAAGCTGCTCTGAAAGTGCAAAAAACATGCAGTTCCCCTCCCCTTGATTGTCAGAAATCGCAAAACCTTTCTCCAACGCAGTCGTCTTTAAAGCCTGCGACAGCTCAGTTTTGCTGGACTCTGTGCGTGCTTCCAACAGGATTTGTTGAAGTGCAAGGAAAGTGGGTTCACCTGTGAGCGGAAGATGAAAAAGACAAAATAAGATACACGAAGAGGTTATTTCACGCCTGTTTAATAGGAGATAGTGATAATGATAATGATAGAGAATTTGTATAGTACTAGAACTATAAAATATTCAAAAGCGCTTAACATTAAGTTACAATCCAAAAAATTCCTGAAAAGCTAATAATAACAACAATAATAATAAAATTCCATGCTATGCAAAACTCTAAAAAATAAAAGTCTAAAATTCTATGCAATATTAAAATGAAAATATTCAAAGCATTAAACTTCAGAGTCATTCTAGTAAGTTAGTAACTTCACTCTATTGCGAAAATATATTTTGGCTTTGGTTTAATTGGCAAAGCAAACAATGACATCACCTGCTATCGGTCCTGTTGCAGCATCTTTCTCAAAGTCGTTCTTTAGAACGTCACCTTCTCGGTTTTTTTCAACACCTGCAAAAGTTTAAAATTAGCAGTAAATTTAAATGGTTTGGCCTGTAAGCGGGAGAGCGAAACATTATTTTACGTCAGTCTACTTGGAGATGCTACACTAAGCATTGAAAAGCTAAAAGCACCCGAAAAATCGAAAGTACCCTGGTTTAACAGAAGAAAATAACCTCAGTCTACTGGTTTAATTGACAAAACAAACAATGAAATTACCTGCTATCGCTCCTGTTGCAGCATCTTTTTCACAGTCGTTCTGTGGAACGTCATCTTCTCTGTTTTTTCCAAGACCTGTAAAGTTTAAAAAATTGATGATTTACAGAAAACTATGTCACTCTTAAAAAAAAATGAACGATTCCAACCTTCATCATTGCTACTGGATATGAATAGAAATCAGATGACTTTGATGTATCGCAATCTTATGGATTTAAAATTTCAATTCATCGTTAACTCTTTCAATTGTAGTCCATATGTTATAAAATTATACATGAAAGTTTTAAAAAATGGAATTGATCAGCCGGTAAAAAAAGATCTTGATTGTTAAACAAATTCTCCTCATCAGTAACACGAGAAATGTATGAAGAACAGTGTGGAGAAAGTGAATGCTAACATTAAGGATAAAAGGTTAACAAAAATATTTCTGCAGGGATGCACATGGACCACGAAACATAATATAGTAAAAATGTATTTATGCAATCGCTGTTGCAGAAGCGATGGACATACAGAGATGAATTATAAAACCAAGTGGAGGATAATACTGAAAAGATACGCAATTGAAAATCATCAGGTACTAATTATTATTATTATCATTACTTTTCTATCGGTAAATTTGATTTCTTACCATAGACCATCTTCCACATCCTGTCAACAAGGGACTGGCACTGTTTCTCCCAAGAGAATCTTTCATCATAACTTCTTCGCAGTCTTTGGATTTCCTCAAGCCGCTGCGCCCTTGATTTTTGACGGATGGCTGCAATTGCCTTTGCCCATTCCTTGGGGTCATCAGAGTCGATCACAAATGATTCACCCATTGGAAGACCACGCAGTGCTTTTCCAAATCCAGAGTTTCCACTAACTAGAATGGGAAGACCAGCTGACATGGCCTCCAATGCTGTCAAACCAAACCCCTCAGTTCTTGATGGCATAATGGCCAGGTCGACTTCACAAAACAATTCTCTCAATCTTTGTTTGTCTTTCACAAATGATCTCACAATCAGCTGGTTCTTTGAAATGCCAGTCTGGAGTAAGATTTCTGCGACGTCATCCTGCCTTCCATCGGATGCACCAACGAAAACAAGACTATAGGAACTGTCCTTCAATTCAACTATGGATTGAGCGGCAATGTCGTATCCTTTAAGACTAAAGTCTTCCAAATCACCGCGACCAAAGGTCAATACTCTGAAATTTACACCATCTTCTGCACCATGTTCAATATCTGATAACTCTGCAAAGGAACCTGGTATTAATTGAAAGATATCTCGATGAGATGAACGCAACTTGCACGCGATCGCTTCTTTTAACTTTGGTCCAACGGCTACAACGAGATCTGCAATTTGACAAAGGTCAACTTCAGCTCTGTTCTTCTCTTCTCCCTTGGCAATGGCACTTGGATAGTTCTTATGCATTGCCAGCTCTTCAGGCTCAGTGTGAACAACCTGCACCCACTTACAGCAATGAGACTTTCTTATAATCTGTGCTTGTCTACCAAGCTTTGCTCCATGGCCGATCACAATCTGAATGTCAAGGTCTTCTGGGGGAACGATCAACCAGTCAAGAGGATCACTGTAGGCAGGAAGGCGCCCTGCTTCCCGGATGGAAATGTTGTGACTTTTGGCAGCTCTCTTATGCTCTTCGCCACACTCAAATTCAGGTACAAGAATGGTCACTTCTACGCGTGAGTCTTTTGCCAAATGTATGGCAAGAGTCCTGTTTATTGTTGACAAGCCACCCTGAGACGATCCCCACTCATTCGCGAGAAGGGTAACTTTCAGTACCAGACGCTCTGGGCGAGCTTGTTTGGTATCAGGTGATGATGATGGAGTACACGCTTCCTGCATAGCAACCAAAATTGCATATTATAAAATACAAATTTTACATCTGGGGGGTTCTACCTTTTTGAATGAAAGTTTGCAAGACATGTTAACACGTTAAATGCTATAAACTCATTGCTCAACAGCAAAGCAAAACAGCACATTAAAAAAGACTTGAGAAAAACTCATATGCCAACTGCTATGCCTATTAGACCAATAACAATTATTAATATATGGTAGTCAATTGACCTTATCACCCAACTTACTTGATTTGAAGTACTAATGTTTGCTAAGTTGATAGCAACAAAGCCTTCTCTTACACTCCAGTGGAGCTCGTGGTAGGATAAATAAAGGCATACGTTAAACCTCATACTATAGCCTTAACAAAGCACATCCATGGACTTTGTTGAAGCCTCTTTAGTTTAAATATATTGCTACAGTGGCTACTCTTTAGAAAGACACAATTTTAAGTAGCATGCGTATTCGATAGATATGTAATATGCTACCAGCACTACTGGAGATTGCATTTCACTACTACCTACCTTACTTTCTATTTGCGAGAACCACTTTTCTTGTCCAGTAACTGTGAGTACCTCCTCTGCAGGTTTCTTCTTGCAAATCAGAGGACCGCCTCGTCTTAACTCAAGGAGGTGAAGACAATCTCTATGAGAACATGCAATCTGATCATGGCTTGAGCATTTTTGCCGCTGACAATACGGACAGGCGACCCGAATATGATACTGCAATCCACCTTTATAGAGATCACGTGACAAAACTTGCAAAGTTGCCTCCACAAACTTACGAACCTGTACTGCCACCTCACTTGTGTCATCTACTGAGATCTGCTGAGGTTGGTTTCTTTGCTTGATAAAAAACTTAATAAACTGCTTCTCACAAATAAGAACAAAATCATGAAAAGTTTGCTTGCCAATAACAAACCACGCTCCATTTTGAAACAGGGTAGGGGGCTGAGTTGGACCAGCCTCAGAACACCAACGGACGGATCGAGAAACAAGCCGAGTGAACAGACCATGGGGAACAGAACCGCTGACAAAGTAAACATACAGGGCACAAGGGTCCAGCCTAGAGGGCGCCATGGAACAAAGGGAATCAGGCGAAGCTTTGAGTTGAGATGGAACAAAATACTTTTCACCTGCCTTTGAAGATGAAAATTTTGCAATTAATCCAAATTGTTCCATCAAATCAAGAATGTCTTTCCTGGCAACACCCTTCAGGAGAAAGCTGGAAAACACAAGATCAACCAGTTCCATGGGGAGAGCACCGCTTTCTTTAACTTCCTTCCAGTACTTGGCAACCTTAGGAACCTAAGACGGAATAAGGTGACGGACAATAACAAAACTATTTTAAAATAGTGATATTTAGGGAGAATTTCAAGCCAGTTAATTAATGTACTTGTAAATTATTGGTAATTTCATTTAATATTTTAAGTAAACAAACAAAGAAAAAGATCTTGAGTTTCCCGTTTTTGTGTGGGGACGAATATAAAGAAAAAGGTTACGTAGTCTGCCTAGCAAGTACTACTGTGTGAATAAAAGTAAAGAGGATAGCCTTCTAAGCAGCCCTCTGTTTGGTTCGTCACAATTCTTTTTAATCCAGTTAAAAGATTTACGAAGTCAGGTTTTCTTTTCTTTACAACGTTCACCATAACCTCGCGCTGAGGGAAAACAATAGAAACGTGGTTGTCGTGGTGGAAGGAAACAATGTGAAATAATGAAATGAGGGAAAGGAAAAAGGGATGAAAATGGAAAAATGTTTTTTCGAGGTAGAAAGGGCTAGTTTGCTTTGCTCCTCATTAAATATTCACGACTTGCGCGCATTGTAAAGAGGAACAACTTGGAAACAAAGGTGGAAGGAGGATTTTGTGATAGAGGGGGCCTAGAGATATAATATACAGTAGCAATATGGGCGCGATAGCGCCCATCAGGACTGCGAACGGCGCACTTTTCTAGGGAGATTCGGGGGCATGCTCCTCCGGGAAAACTTTTGAGATTGAAGTTCTCTGAGATGCAATCTAGTGCAATCTGGACGCTTAGATTAAGCAAATGCCTGGATTCCATATTGAACATGAAATGCTGAAATATTTAATAAACCACGGGTGTGGTTGTGGTTAAAGAGGTAATTAACACTGTATGAAATATGTAGGCTTCGAACACAGATTCCTTTCTTATTAACAATGTTTATAAAAGAAAGTATATTTAAGTAACAAAGCTCGAAGTACTATCCGGCACACGTTGACAATATAAAAAAGAAAAAAATTCCCGAACAAAAAGGGGGAGCCTGGGCCCCCTGGGCCCACCCCTAAATCCGCCCTTGGGAACAACTTGTTGGATAATGAAAGCAGTATGAAATGGAACTTGCATAACTACTTCACAGGCGAGTTAGCGCTTATTCCTTCGACAACCTGAATCAACCAATGAATACTTTTCCCAGTTCTTACACGTAGTCGTCAACCAATCAAAAAGCAAGACCTTCATATACTAAGAAATAATTGGAAAACCTGTCCAACTGGTTAAAAATAGCACACGACCTTATCTTAGGGCCCGTGTACATGGAGGTGGGGGACCCCAAGTAGGTGAGGTAAACCGTTTAGGTGAGGTAACTCGCCCGTCAACATAATATTTTAATTTGACCACCTTTACATGATAGTTGGGGTGACCCGCCACACCTGTTAAGTCACCCCAAAGGGGGGCCATTATGAACCATTGCAGGTTTAAAAGCACGTTTAAAATGCATTTCTTACCATTTTCGTAAAATCTGGAATGGTGATCAGCTGCCCGAACAAGTCTATCAGCCACCTGGCACTCAAGATGACTGTACTACGGTGCTTGATAATTATTCTCAGGTCATGATAGAAATTCACCATAGTAGTAAACTCTTTCTCATCATCGACGAAGCAATTCTCCTTAACATGGGTCCGTAGCTTCGTTATACTCAGGTAATAAACTGGCTTGGAAAGCAAAGCGTTGATAACATTCTCAAAGCTCAGCCACCTAGTTTATTAAACCAGAGAAAAAATTGATAGCACGCGTTAAGTATCCATGTGGCGACACAGCATACCTGTACTGACTAAAGTACAGAGCCCA